CCTGTCTCTCTCATTAGTGAAAAAATGAAATACATAAAAGTTTTTTTAAAAAAAGATTGTACAACCTAGTAGTTCATTACTAGGTAAATTATGGTATATTATTTTTTGGAGATATTATTTAAAACTAAGGTATATTTTTATATTCACATGTTTTAATATGACAGTAACAATATCTGACAGTTATGGAGTACCTACTTAATAAATTGATTAAGGTATAATCCTAAGCACATTTAAATATAATATTATATATTTTACTTTACATGCTCTTATGCATTTAGCACATATAGTCAGTTCAATTCCCACAACACTCTGGAATATGTATTTTAACATTTTTCCTGTTGCACATAGGAGCACATTACAGAGTTAATTAAAAATAAAATGTATTGAAAGCACAATAAATCGATAACCACTCCTCCTAGCTAATTGTGTCCTGCCATGACTATGTCCTGCAGTATTTGAGAATCATACACTTCTGTGCACATGGCTGAGGAGTGGCATGCAAGAGTAACATTCCAGGAACTATACCCTAAATATCATTTCCAAATACTGCCCGATGTTTTCAAAGGAAGGGATACTAAGACAAGTATGATAGATTATCACAAGCAATAGCATATATGATCATCTATCATTAATTAAGCTGCAATTTTAGGAAAAAAACCTTCACATGAAAAGTTTGTATTTATTTCTACCTTCAGTGAATGTTTAGTAAATGCCTATTGATATTCTACAAAATACTCCATAATCTTAATATTTTTTCTCTTTAGCATATGCTTCATACTTCTTTGTTTTCTATTTCTATTTTTGCTGCTAGAAATACTTTCTCTAGTTTCTCTACTAATGAAAGTGATTAAAATAATGACATTAATAAAGTACGAAATTCAAGAATTTCCTGTGATTACACTTAGAAAGTTCAAATTTCTCTTGCAATTTTTAATGAAACACATGTGTGCACACATAGATGACACACACATACACTTAAAGATTTTTTTCCTCGTTTCTGGAATGAGATGCTATAATTATTGAAACAAATAAAACTTCTAGAAATAGAGAACCAATTATAAATGTTCATTCTTAAAAACAGTCACACAACTATAATTTCTACAATTGTTATTGACTAAAGGCTAATGTACTAAAGTTATATGAAAGAATTAATTGGCAAAGTGAAAAATAAAATACTAAAATCTTCAGAAAACAACTAAAAAAATTTTGAATTCCTTTCTTCATATTCTTTACATAAAGAAGTTGCTCAAGTAAAAATTCAGTATGATATTTATAGGAAATAAGTGGTTAGAGTTAGGGCTGAAACACCACCAAACCTAAATACAGTGGACATCTACTTCATATGACTGACTAAAAACACCTCTGTTTGAGGACCATCCTACTCCCCCCTTTATATGGCTCTAGTGAAGCTGAAGCTCTCCTTTTACAAGTGGCCACAAGTGTAGACCTAGTCAACCTTTTTCTAAGTTTTCTTTTTCTTCCATAAGTGAAAGAGACAGAGAGAGAAATAGAACGAGAAAAAGAGAAAAATACAGAAACAGCGTTCCATACAGGTCTTTTACACTGTGATTCACTGCAGCATCAGCCTGCCCCAGATCGTGAGCACATGTGTGCCAACATGTTCAGGGAGGTCTCTGGGCGTAATCCTAGAATTTTCCCATGAGGGTCAGTCTTACAGAGAATTGCATCACTACTGCACCAGCCGTCCAGTCCCTAGTCAATGTTAATATTTATTCATCCTAGCTTTAGTGGTGGAAATTCGACTCTAGATAGACCATTGAAAAACACATTCTGGTATACATTCCTGATTTATTTAGACATTTGATTCTCACTGGGTCTGAAGTTAGGCACATGACAGGGCAATAAAGTAGACTCCTACTGCAAATGCACCGAGGTTGCTTTGTAGGCAGTCTCATCATGGAGTACATCTCTTTGCCTTCAAATTTTATAGTTGACAAATTTCTGTTGAAAAGAATCATTGTAATGCTTTCTATTGAATGTATTCCTCAAACTCTCAACTCTAGTACATCTGGAGACCCCTTTCACAATGGTGATTTGCATACAGGTTAGAACAATGTCTACAACGTGACTCTCTTAAAATGTGTTTGTTCTGAATAATCTTCTCAGCCTCTTAAGAATTTACCCAGTGTAATTAGATACACCCTGATTCATTCTAATGCTATCCAAAGGCTTAAATATCTGTGCTTTAATTGAAAAAGCTCATTAACTTTAAATACAGCTAAAGTTATTGAGGGAAAAAAATCTCAGTAGACATACTCTAATAGAGTGTCTAGTAAGACTGAAAAGGAGAGGTTTGTGTATTCTTTTTTCAAGAATTATTTACTTATTTAATTCCATCTGTTACTATTAATTTTTTATTTAATTCAACCAGAGAGATACAGAAAGAAAGGGAAAGTGAGAAAGCAACCCACCATGTTCCAAGACTTGAACCACATTTAGCCATGTATAAATCTAGTGCCCTTAACCACCACATCACCCACCAGCCTCAGGTTTATGTATTCTAACCCAGCTATATTTTTTTTGAGAGGTTTTTGCTATAGGATGCGTGTGTTCACCAGAAAGACAGAAAGAGACAGAGAGACAGAAAGCGAGAAATCACCCCTCAGGGGGATGGCCATGCCGCAATCCTTTCTCCTCCATTTTCCTCTCGGGATCATGGGCACAGACACGCATAGTCCTGGTGTGAGTTTAAGTCACTGGGTCCTGGCATCAAACCGCAGTTGGCTACATGGGAATCCAGCAACATAGCCATTATGCTAGCTGCTGGTTCTGTAAACCAGCTCATCTTGATGTTGTCTACAGGAAGAAAATATGCAGTCACATTGGTGAAATTCTACTCAATTGTTAGACATTCAATGGACTTTAAAACTTTAAATCACCTTTCTGTGTAACCAGAGAGTAGTTGAGGTAAAATTTCACTGTATAGTTTACCAACTAACAAATGAAGAAGAAATTATGCAAATAGAATATTACTTATTTTCAATCCATAGCCAATTGGAGCCTCCAGGTAGCAATTCTCAATAACTCCTTATATTACTAACAATAACAAACACTCAATATCACTCCAGTAGTGTTGAGCAAATTGTGGACCTGAATCTAATCAAACTTCGAGATGAGGGGTTCTCAACCTCAACACTATTGGCATTTAGAGTCAATATTTTTTTTCTTTAGGGGATGTCCCCACGACACTCATGTGCATTCTCAGTCGTTTTAGCAGCATTGGTGGATTCCACCCACTGGATGCCAGTATCATCTCTGCATTGTAAAAAACAAAAACAAAATTATCTCCAGCTTTGTCAAATGTCCCATGGAGGGAAGGAGAGTTTTGGGCCAGGCAGTAGCTCATCAGTAAAGTAACTAGACCCATTTGGGGAGGGGCCTGAGGCTGTTTCAGGCCTCCCTGACCACACAGGCCATGCACATCCCTGTGTTCCTGGCTGGCTGAGACTAAGAGTTTTGTCATATTAATAACTTAAGTCTTTTTGGGTGTCTTTTCATTTAAATCTTACCTTTTTTCTTTTGAAGAGAGGTTTTTGCTATAAGGTGCGTGCACTCGCCAAAGAGACCGAGACAAAAAGCAAAAAATCGTCCCCTGGGGGAATGGCCACACCGCAACTGCTTCTCCTCCATTATTCTCTCAAGTTCTTGGGCATGCATGCATATGCACCTGGCATGAGTTTAAGCTGCTTGGTTCAGAACTCAAACTGCAGATGACTACATGGGAGTCCAGCAATGTAACAGTTACGCCATATGATGGTCCCAAGTCTTCCTAATTCTTTTCAAGAAGGTTTTGTAGTTCTCAAAATATGTCTTGCACTTTTATTGTTGAACTTCTTTCTAATTCCATATTTAAAAAAAAATAAAAGTAAACCTGCTAACACCTGGGTTCCAGTTTTAGTTTTGTCTTTATGGTCTAATAACTGCAGATTGGTACAGCTATTTTCAAAGCAATTGAACCAATGGTGACCCATCCGATCTTCCTCCAAATCCATGAATGCTACTCTGAGTGTGTGGTATGGTAGAAAAAGTCTGAACAAGGTCAGTGTGTTGAGATGGTGAGATTCCACGTGGCTCAACGTACAGTTTGAGTCTCGGACCTAGTGGTTTGAGGGGTATTCTGGGTACATGTATGTGCGTGCCCAAAGTCATGAGAGGAGAATTGAAGAGAAGGGATTGTGTCATGGTCATGACCCCAGGATGAAGTGATTTCTCACTCTCTCTCTTTCTCTCTCTTTCTGGCAAGCACACATGCCCTGTAGCATTTCACAAGAAAGACTTGAACTCTGGTCTTACTTTCTTATTTTTCCTTTCTCTCTCTCTGTCTCCCTCTGGTCAAATTAAGAAATAATAATACTCCAATATGGTCAAGCATAGTTTGAGTCCTGGACACAGTGGCCTGAAATTCATGCCAAGCACAGGTACATGTGTGCCCAAAATCCTGGGAGGAGAATGGAGAAGCAATTGCAGCATGGCCATCTCTCTGGGAAAGTGATTTCTCATTTTCCCCTTCACTGCCTCTGTCTGTCTGTTTATCTGTCTGTCTGTCTGTCTCTCTCTCTGGAAAGTACACATAACTTATAGAAAATCCTCTAATAATAATAATAATGATAAATAAAATAATTATTCTGAAAAAACTGAGATGGGGCTGGCAGGTGGCATGGTGGTTAAGGGCACTGGACCCCTACATGGCCCACCATGGTTCATGTCCCAGATCTGGTAGCTTGATTTCTCCCTTTCTCTCTCTCTCTCTTTCTCTCTTTTGTTCTGTACATCTCTGATTAAATTAAAATATATATAAATAAGTAGATAGATAAATAAATAAATTTAATAAAGTAGATCTTTAAAAAAACTGAGATGTAGCAGAGGAAAAGAATAGTGAGAAAGATATGAGAGTAAGTCTTGGGAAAGATGTTTGTATATATATATACAGAGAGAGAGAGAGTGAGTTAGTTTTTGGTATAGGGCGCATGTGATCACCAGAGAGACAAAGAGAGACAGAGAGACAGAAGGTGAGAAATCGCCACCCGGGGGGATGGCCATAAAACAATCCATTCTCCTCCATTGTCCTCTCAAGATTTGGGGCACACATGCACACACACCTAGCATGAGTTTCAAGTCACCAGGTTCAAGACTCGAACTGCAGTTGGCCATGTGGGAGTCCAGTGATGTAACCATTACACCATCTGCTTGTCCCTGTTTTTGATATGTTCATTTACAGGTTTGAGAGAGGCAGTCAATTAGATAGAGATGCACTATTGGTACAAATACAAAAATATAAGAAACACTTGTAAGATGGTAGCTAAAACCACAGGGATGATTTCTGTCATCTCAGGAAAATATGCAGTACTAGCCAATTGTTCTGAACCTGAGGCAATTTTGGAACCACCCCAAATGCCTGGGGATACTACTGGCATCTACTGGGTAGAGGCCAGGGATATTGTTAAACATCCTACAATAAATGAAATAGATCCCCATGAAAAACTTACCTGGTCAAAGCTGTCAACAGTGCTGAAGTTGAAAAGTCCTGCATTCAACTGGACCAAGGAGAAGACAAAAGAAAACATCATTGAGGAAGGGATGAAAAATCAAGATTTCCACAGGCAGAGAGAGTCAGAATGCTTTCCAAAGGGACACAAAAATACAGGATGTGCAAAAAGCCTCTTATAATTCTCATTAGGTCACCCCAAAAGGAACATGGTACTGTTCTGTCAGTGGTAGCCACCATATTCCCTCTGCAACAGCCCTGCCAGGGTGATGATTCTCAGATGAAATAACACAGTTAATTATGTCCAGGACAATAAGAGTGTGAATAGCATGCAGATGCTTAACATCTGCTAATCCTAAATTGAATAACTCTTCAAATTAATGCTTTTTCGTTGGGTCCTGGAAGAGCTGCTGACATATAGAGTCCCAAATGTCTATTCTGCAACTTTTGTTTTGCATCTAGTGTTAGGGTGTGTCTGGATTGGTATTGGGTGGAATTGGGATAATTCCATGACACTTATGGTTTATATTAGCTATTTAGTTGAGCAGAAACTGAAAATACAGAACTGCTGTACAGATTTCCATAGATAACAGCAGTGGCTTTCCACTTGAGTTTGTGAATGAATAAGTTCTCAGTAAAGATATATTCTCTCTCTCTCACTCACTCTCTCTCTCTTTCTCTCTCTCTCTCTCTCTCACACACACACACACACACATACACACACACACACACACACACCACAAAAATCCAAAAAGCAAAACCACCCTAATCCAAATAACGCCTTTTGTCTTTCCCTGTACAATTCCTTTAAATTATCTCCTGTGGTCTGCATTATGCCATACCTCCCAAAATCATCATGTTCTCAATCATATTTATTTTCTTTTTCTTTTTCTTTTCTTCCTTTTTTTTTTTTTTTTTTGACTATAGGGCGTGTCCATGTGCCAGAGAGACAGAGACAGAAAGAGAGAAATCACCCCCCAGGGGGGACAGCCTTACTGCAATCCCTTCTCCTCCTTTCTCTTCTAGGGATTTTGGGCATGCACACACACATGCTCAGTGAGATTTCAAGTTGGGGGGTCTGAGATTCAAACCACAGTCGACTATGTGGGAATCCAGTGACATAACCATTATGCCTCTGCTGGTCCCTCTCAATCATATTTCGGTGTAGGGATATATAATTGGGTTATTTGTTTGTTTTGCATGTTGTGGGGTTTTTTTGCTGGTATTCATTACCTCTTCTTCTGGAAATACCACCTTAATTTTCTTTTGAGGAGTCAAACTTTGTGTTGTGCAGACAACCCACTCTCCTCCCTCCAGAGATATATCTTGGACCTAGGCCTGGCCAGTTTCTGTAATACATTCTCCTGGGCATGGTGACTGGTTGACAGATGACCTTTTGACCCACATTGTTCTAGAATGATTCAATCTTAAGATTCTAAACTTTTAAAATCCTTTCCTTCTGCTAGATTTGTTCAGCTGTAAGAATTTCAGTCTGAATCTGCTATCAGCCATTTTTCTTGGAAAAGTTTGCTTGTACATGAGGCCAATAAAGTAGAGAAGATCCAGAGATAGGAGAAAGAAGAAAAGGAAAAGAGAATAAGAGGAAGTGACAGACAAGAGAAAAAAGATAAAGACAAAATGATAGAGAGAAAGAAAGAAAATAAGATAGAATTCTGATAACATTGTTTAAGTTTCAGAATCCAGTTGGATCTGAAGATTCATCCCAGACATTTCATTCAAAATAAGTGGTTGAGTTTATACTAACTATATAAAGACCAATCTGACCGATGCTTTTACTTTAATAAATAACTCTTAGAGACACTGAGAATAGAAGGTTAAAACAATAGAAACTTCTCGAAGAGCTGACAGTCTTGTTAGAAAAGCATGTTTTAATCCAGAGAACACAAGAGTAGTACGCATTAAGGAAGATACTCAAGATGCCCTGAGTGCACGAAATGTAAAGACTTAATCTGATCAAAATCAGCAGGGAA